GAGTGGCTGGAGTGGCCGCTGGATCAGGAATGCTAGCGGAAGGGGGAGAGGAAGAGGTAGGGGTCCATGGACAGGATCTGGCTCACAGACCAGCCTTGTACCACAGGCACATATTGTATCAGCCTGATCAGACCCAGGGGCAGCACAAGGGGCTACATGGCAGGGCTCTGCAGGCTGGATCCAGGCTGCGGGCGGTATGTTTGACAGCTCTGCCATAGACCCTTTGCTACCTGCTGCCAGGAACAGAACAAAAATAACTTATATTGATTGTTATAGTGTAGGAAGGGAGAACAGATAGGAAAAATAATTTTAGAAGTCTTTTGAACTGAGCAAGCCTGATATGAACTCTCATGAACTATGGAAGCACATCATGCTTTTTCAGACTCTCACTTTTCCAAAAAGAACGCACATTTTAAATACTGGGAAAAACCTTTACAATGCTGCCATCCCTTTGAAGATACTAGAACCACTCTTCATATTCAGGGCCATACAGGATCTCTCTGATATCTAGGAGAAAAAGCCTAACTCAGATGTGTCACTAAACTTTTCTGCTCATCTACTAGAGTGCAATGTCTTGGAAGCAGGAAGGTGTAAAACTTCTAACCCAAAGCCTGCTTGGATAGAGCTAGATAGAGAGAGAGGATGAGATGTTGTATGTATATTTGATTAGAAAGTGGAAGCTGTTAAGAGGCAGCAAAAGCTCTTATGCATAGGAAAAAGTCAAGCCAAGGAGAGTGTATACTTATTCTGAAATGCATCAAAGCATTTTAATTTTTGTTCTGCACTTATGTCAATTCACATTGGACAATCAGAACGTAAGGCAGGACTTCTTACTTACTTTGTTACTTCATCAGTTAAGCAAACAATGTGCTCTTGCATTCTGCTTAGGCGAATTTCATAACGCACTTCCTTGGCTTTGGGATGGTAGTTCCTTGCATAAAATCCTCTCCAGCAGGCCTGAAGCTTGGTGGCTGCTTTGTTCAGTTTTTGCAATTCACCTGCATCATGGTCCACAGAAGCCAATTCATCAATAGAATCTTTCTTTACAGTTTGGTCTGAAAGAAGAGTTTGTTCATCATTCACTGATGGGATAGAGTAACTCCCAAGAACTTGGTCTACACAGGAGGCTAGAGAGCAGCTAGTACTAGCAGTCAGATCAGCAGCAACTGTTGCTGAATTAAGGAAAGGTAATAATTCAGCCTCTTTATTTTTCTCTTGAGCTTCTACAGATTCTGTTGCTGTGATGGAACACTCTGTTGTAACCCAAGAAATCTTTTCCTGTTTGTTATCTGCACCCTCCTTATTAACTCCTTTCACAAATTCAATCACTGTAGCATCATCATCTTCCATGTCTGAAGTGATTCCATGTAGCCTCTGTTCTGTAGTTGGAGATACAGGAGACAATCCTGAAGCAACAGGCATAAAAGTAGACTCAGAGGAGAGAAGACTGCTGTTCAGTTTGTCTTCATCAGTCTGTACATCTTCCAGGTACAGTTCTTTGCGACAACTTCTTTCAACTGGAAAGGCATTCTTTGCTGCATAAGAGTGATCATCATTGGTGCTTGGCCCAACCCAAGAATTCATTTGGATAACAGGTTCTAGAGGAACAAAAAGCCAAATTTAAGTTATGCTCCATTTAAGTAATATAATCCATTTAAAATGAAGAGGCCTTCGTCTTCTATTTTAATTAAGAATCCAGCAGTTCCAAGTAAGGTGCAATAACTGCAATTTAATGCTGATGTAACACTAGCACAGAGACCTAAGGGGCATTTTTACATGTGCTCCAGGATGGGGTGTTTTAATTAGAGCCGCTTTAATTAAAACGCCTGCAGAGTTATTGGATAATATCTGTACCGTTTGCTACTAGTATTCAGCATCTTGTGTATTCAGCATCCCATGTTTCAAAATGGCAGTGGGGGCACTTTAACTAAAGCTTTCAAGTGCCCTCGCCACCATTACGAAACGTGGGGACACTGTATACACGAGACTGCAGCAGGCTGGAGCGTTCTAATTAGAACACTTCAGAAGACTTAATTAAATCAGCAGACTACTTGGAACTGGATGAACTGAATCTGGTCTGAAGCGTTAACTGAATCTACTTTGACACATTCAGAATGCATCAGAGCACGTTTATAGGTGCCCAAAGTGTGCTGGTCATGGTAACACACAGCAAGAGACAGCCCCTTCCTGAAGAATCTCCTACCTAACAAGACAGAGCAATCGAAGTAGCAAACACCAGAAGATGTGATATACTAAATAATAATAATCTTTTCACTATTTTAGTAATTACTGTTTTCAGTATACAAATAAAAGTCAGGGGCATGAGGTTAGGAACCAAGGTGTAGCCAGAACTGTATTGCTTAAGTTAAAAAACAAAATCCAGACACATTAAAGATTGGAAGGCTCTGTTCAAGAGGAAGGCTATAATCATGTAATTGTTTCCCACAATGGTATTTGCATGCAGATAATTCCACTTATTGCCATAGACAGCAGCACAAGAATAAATTTGGACTTTACCGCTTTCAAGGACTATCTGTGGTGCCAGGGCAAGACTGCTTTGTTCACACACAAGTGACACCCCTTTGTTGGGAGTAGAGGATGTAACTGGTCCTTCATTTTGGCTTTGGTACATCAGTTGCCTCTGGTGGAGCCTGAGCAGAAACAAAATTAAATCATTCTAAAAAAATCCCTATCTTTCAAAATGAGATCTGAAAGAAACTAAAAACTTTGAGTTACTTTATGGGGAAGGAAAAAAAAATTAAACCATCTGAAAAGAAGGGACTGATCAAGAGAAATACTGTACATGCAAGAATCCAAAGAAACTACTCACAAGAACAGACTCACAGGACCAGGTCCCAGTCTGTCAAAATTAAGTGGTCTCCTTTAAAACCTCTCAGTTATATAGAACAGTACTTCCTAAATGCTTCTGTTACATATGACATTGATGGAGAAGGATAAAATGTTCTCACCTCTGCTTACTCAGTATTTTTTCCAGTTTGGCATCCTCTTCAGTCTGGAGACCATATGAAGAAATAAGAGGACAAACAGTGGCAAGGTACTGAACTAACTGAACGTGCTGGCCAGGTCGATAAGCTCGCCCTTTACCTTGACTATAAAGCCATTCTGCTTTCAAACTGGGAGGAAGAAAAAGAGGAGGTAATGTCTTTGCATAAAAAAAATCAGAACTAGAGCATGCAAGTCATTTTCTCATTGCAACTCGTTGGTTACTTTTCTTCTAATTGGTACCTATACTATACAAATCCAAACCCTGCATTTTCACAAAAACCAAAACACATTGGGATCTTCAGAAGAGTTGGGGGAAATACTTTGTTTCCCATACAAAAACAGGGCTTTGAAGATAATTTACTGCAACTGTTACTCTGATCGATGAATCAGTTGTAGCCCTGGCTCTTATCTTCTCCATTTAGCTCTTAACATTTTATTCACTTCACCTATTATCATGCCCTTTTTTTGTATCCCATCAACATTTGAATGCATCTATTAGTAGAGATGTTCAAAGCAGGATTACTCTTCGGAGTATTCACAGAAATCAAATCTGAAATTTTAAAATTGGAAGCAGCACAATGAAAACCTGGGACTCAGGGAACATCATGCCATATTCAGAAGAAATCACATTTTGAACATCATGTGTGACAGCAGTGACAATGAGCATTTAAATTTTTTTTAAACAGTGAGTATGGTAGCAATTAGAGACTTAATTTCTGATCATCTGGATTTAATCACTGCACACAAACGCATTTCAAAAAACTTATTGACCAAATAAAAAAGAAATTTTAAAAATGTTTTCACCTTTCTTTCTGAGAAATCACATATCCGTCTAGAACTTTAAGGTTCAAACACCAACTGACAATATAGGGTCGATAGTCAAATCCAGGAATAGAAGGCGTAGCCATCACACAAGGATTGCTCATAATTGACAACTGCTCCAATTGAGGAAGAGAAGCCAAGAAAGAAATCTGAAATAAAGAATATCTTTGTTGATTAAAGAGAACTACCTGGTGTTTACAACATATGCAATATTTCTATTGCCTGGACATCTTAGGCAGAACAGCATTTGAAATGCAAAAATGCATGTTGAAAAAAACAAAAAACCACCCAAACAAACACACACCACTACCACCCTGATCCCAGTAGGAACACTATCACTAAGTCACTCTCCTGTAATATGTTAGCTGCCATTACCTTTGGAAAGCATCACCTCATTTTTGTGTCTTGGGGGAGTGGAATTTTTGTATATTTATATCGTTCTGAATCAGAACAAGTGGCAAGGATGGCCTTATAAACATGGTCACACTCCACAGCAAAGATGTACTTATTTAAAGAAGAGGAAGGAAGAATGAGCATCTGGCCACATTAAGGGATTCCCTCAGCAATGCCATGCTGACAACCCTCACATTTTTTCACAAAAACGTTAAAAGAAACCATAAAAGAACAATTAACTTCTCCTTGTCTGCTCCTTGATAAAGAAACAGAATCAAAACCATAAATGTAAATTTTGAGGCAGTTCAGATCCAGAGTGAGCCTATCATTAGAACAGAAATTACTTGTAGGATTTTTCAGCAGCAGAGGCCTACAGCTGACCAGTATTGTTTTTAATCTGTTGAATCCAGGCAAAAGACACCTGTGAATAGTGTTTTATGAATTTGTAGGCAGCGTCTGAGCCTGGGACTATGCATTAGGCATCCTTGAGCAATGGAACTAGGAAATTAAATAAATAAAAACAAATTAAAATAAAAAATGAAATAAAAGGCTGGCTGGAAGTTAGAACTTCTATCCCAGTTATTTCCTTTCAGCTTTAAGAGCACACCTCCACAGCAAAGGATTAGCTATTCTGCGTAGCTGTTCAGTGTACACCGTTATTACCAGGGATCTGGGTTTTCTGTTTCCCACAGAAGAGCGGAGAAAAACGCAGGTTTCCCCTTTTAACAGAGAAACATGCAGCTTTTGCAGTTTTGCAAAGAGCTCTCTGCAGGCTGGCAGAGTTCCAGCCTACAAGGGGATGGGGGGAGTAGGAAGAGGACAGTCAGGCAGGGGGTGTCATGTGCATGTATATGCATGTGGCCACTAGGCAGACAGGGGAGCAGCTCTCACAGGTAAATCTCTAAGTCTGCAGGGTGGGGAACAATGGTTGAAGCCCCAGTAGAGGGGCAGGGAGGGAGGAAGCTAGGTAAGGCTGGGGCTGCTGCCCAGCCAGGACTCGGGGCCTGGAGCTGGAATGAGAAACCGCAGGGTCCTGGTAGGTAACGGGACAGGGCTGTGGGCAGCTTGTCTGGGGGTTGGGTGGAGCCAGCTCCCAGCCACTGTGTGCGCTCTCAGGGGGAGGGCAGGGGTGGGCTGCCTGCTGTGGGCTCAGGGCTCCCTGCCCTGCTGCCCTCCCCCAGGGCCTCCACAGTCCAGTGGGTGGGACCTGGTGCAGCAGGGAAGAGCAGGACCAGGTGGTGAAGCTCCTTACCGCTATGAGCCCCACGTCACCCTTGCAAGGCATCCCCTCCCCACCCAGCAGCAATGGGGCAGTGGCACAGGGTTGTGCCCCTTGCTGCTCTGGGACATTGCCAGGGCAGCACAGAGCTTGCAGCAGCAAGGAACTTCACCACCTGGCCCCACTCTGCCCTATTGGGTCTTGCCTGCTGGGGTGCAGAGGCCCCACCCCATCCCCTGCCTGAGCCCACAGCAAGCAGCCCACTCCTCCATGGGCTCTGCTACAGCTGTGCCTGTCGTGGGGGAGGGGGAGCTGGGCTCCACACTCCACTATGCTGCAGCAGCAGCTGCTTCCTGTGGGTGGCAGCTGGGGCTTGGGCACTGCTGCAGGGGGCAGGGGGCCCTGGCAGCTGGGGGCCCCCTTCAGCAGGGTTGGGAGGGGACAGGGGGATGTGGGTAGGAGGCAAGAAGCACCGCCGGGGCGTAAGGGGTACCAGCAGAGCTGGGGGGGCTGTGGTTGGGGAGCGCGAGGCCTGGACCTATGTTCTGTGAGCAAAAGGGGGCAGAGGGAGCTCTGACTTTCCATGATAAATAATTGAAAAAAATCAAACATTAAAATGAGGCACTGGTAGACTCCCAAATTGCTTTAAAATTGTAAATAGATCAATAAAACTTTGTGTTCAATTGATATCTATCTATAGTGGCATTTCATATTAGTCATGGATTTGGGGCTTTTTTTAATCAAAGAATATGGGGTGTGGGGGCGGTTTAAATCAGAGAATTTTTATCAGAGAAAACCAGGATACCTGGTTATTACGAACACCAATTACCAATAGTAAAAACCTTCAGCAGTCTGTCAAATTTGAAGAAAGTAATGGCTGTTTTACTTGCACTCTGACTATTTTGCTCTCAAAAGAACTACACAACTAGCTTCTTTTATTTTACGTTAAAAACTTTTTATGCTAAATTCTCCACATGTGTTACCTCATTTAAGTCCCTGATTTCATTTTCTGCCAATGACAGAATGGTCAGACTTTGAGGTAGGCAAACAGGGGCTGTGCGAAGAGAAGTTATAATATTTCCATGGAGCAAAAGAGTCTATAAAACAAAAACATCATCATTAAACATTACCATTTTGATCAAAATGTTTTTCTTAATAGCAACAGCTTCAGAGCACAAAATTGTGAATTAACAAGTCAAGAGTGAGTTTCTACAAACAGATTTTTGCTTGGAATAATTGTACTATTTAAAAGCAGAATTTTCCTATAAAAAAATTCAGTTTTATAAAGGGTGGGGGTCATTTGTTTTTAATATCTGTAGTTAGAAACTTCAGTACTACTTTTGGCAGCCTTGGCCAAATCACCAAATGATTACAAGAGAATCATAGCCTCGTTTTTTTCATCTTTAAAATGGGGATAATAATTCTTCATAACTTCTGACAAGTAGGTATGCATGACTAGTTAAAATTGCATGGGCCTGGATAATAGTGTTAACTGATATGATGCTTTTTTAAAGAGATGACGGACAGTAGAAAGGTAACACTGCATTTACCTTTAGAGATGCAAGCTTGGAGAGATCTCCTATTTGAGATATATTATTGTCTGATAGATCAAGATGTTGAAGAGATGTGCAGCTGTTGATCTGATCTATCATCTACAACATGAGACATAATGAGAAATTAAAAACCTCTCTTCTCTGTCATTAAATGAGAATTTACATTACTATTATGCAATTCTTTCTGAAGCTTATGTCTCAATAAAACAGCCAGGAAAGCTTCTAATTTTCAAGTATGAAGAACTTTGGTTAGGAAAAAAGTATGTTTAGTAAATGATGATGATTTTTAAAATGACCCAATTCCCATTACATTTTGCGATTTACTTATTTATGCAGATTAATTGGAGATCACTTATTCAACTACTGAAAAAAAAATTCAACCCCTGGAAGGGCTTTCCAGTTTCCCACTGTATTCTGATACCAGATTTTGAAAAGCTAAAAAAATAAATATTTCACCTTCAGGTTATTTCCTGCCAGGTTTAGCCATTCCAGGTGCACCAGATCCTTCAAGCCCTCCACATAACCAATACTATTGTGAGGCAGGTTTAGTACCCGGAGCTGAGTCAGTTTTGCTACACCCATCATTCGTACCAGCCGATTATTGGCCACTGACAGCTGTAGATAAACATGCAAAAATGTTTAATGTTTACTACAAAATGGTTCACACAAAACAGGTTAACAAATGATAACATAAGATCTAGCTCTTATTTTAAAAGGTTAAATATACAGTCCAATAGACTATACAGAATGATGTTATTTCTAAAGAGTAACGCAGCCCAGACAAACCACAAGACCATTCAAACTAAATTTTGCACTAAACTTTACGAGCTCATTTTGTTATACAAGGCAAATTCACCTGCAGTGTTAGATAATGAAACTCAAGAGAATGAAATGAAGAATAAATTAGAGTCATTGTTTCAGGTGGTAAAAAGCATTTTAAAACTGCCTTGCAAAAATAACTGTGGGCTCATCTACACGTGCACTTTACTGCTGAGTAGACTAATTAGCTTTGCAGTAAAGCATCACTATCTACATGTGCACTGGTATTAGGGTGCAGTAAACTAATTAATTCTGTTGTAAGATATTACTGTTTAGGACAGTACTATCTTATGGCATAGTACTTAACTATACTGAAATCCACATGTAGATGGTGACTGGGTGAGGGACAGACCTCTGCATGCTGCCTAGCTAATTGCTCCATACATTTGGCACTCCTGTGCTCCAGCCAGCCCCTCCGCTGCCCGCTGACATCACCCAGAGCCCACAGCTGACTCCCGAACTCTCCTGCCAGCATGGCTCTGCTCTGCCCTGGCTCAAGGTGCTGATGTCACAGGTGCATATGTAGACACTGCTCCCAGAAGCACCGTACTTCGGCTCGAACTGCCCCAGAGTTTATTACGTTGCATTACAAGCACAAAATTTACTTGCTCATCTTCTTAATGAAAGATTAAAAACACACACACACCCCCCTGGTCCCAGTGAAAAGGGAGCTTTAACACAGTTTTAAACATTATCATTTTTAACATTTTCTAGTAAAGTTTTAAATTGTTAGTTATTTACATGGCTTTGTAGAGTTGAAAGAGAATACAGGACCCTGCACATAGTAGCTACATGGGTATAACTGTAGTATATTGATGCAATCTAAAACATGCAGGGTGCATCTACAGATGCAATTAATGCAGCATAATAAAAACTCTGGGGGAGTTCGAGACAAAGTACACTCCAGTGTCACAGATCATTTTCCATTTGAGGATCACTGGCACCTCAATACCAGACCTTGTTCCTGGCCCACAGCAGCAGGTTCATCTACTTCTTTAAGAGCTACTTGATTTCACCACCTGCTTTTCTTCAGATGTATCTTGGGGACTGCTGATCCTCTCGGTATGAATGAGATATGGGGGGATGAGAAAGGTGTTCAGGGTACCTATCTTCTGCCAAGGGGCCATAAGGGGGAGTTTAACTCATGGGCATCCTGCACAATCACTTGGATGGTCTCTTGTGGCACGTCTCACCCAGTGGCCAGTGAGTGTGCCCAGGGGGAAGTGGCTCTCACTCTCCTTCAAGTTAACCACCCCCTCCCCACTTCAATAACTTGCCTGCTAGTGTTAAGACCCAGGCAAATGTCTACCATACCAGTCTAGAACTAAAGAGAGAGGTCAGAGTGGAAATGTATTTATGGGCTCTTAAATATAGCACCATCAAGCAGTAAAATAAATAACGTTTTAGTTATAGTTACAAAAGGCCCTGTAATTCAGCTTGGAAAAAAGTAATTGTTCTTTCTTTCTAATGTTATTTGAGAAGAAACTACAGAAATTACAGTTAAACCAGGAACAGTAAAAACTGAGTATTAGCTCCATCCTAAATATAATATAGGGGCATTGGGAATGGCTGTTTACACAAAGGGATGTTCCCTTATGCCAATACTGAGAAAAAACAAAAACACTTAGTTTAGCTTTTCTTATGGAAGCCATTTAGGTGATGCCAAAATACGGTTCTTCATGTCTCTTGACAGTACTTATAATAACTACTGAATGGCTTGGACTTGTTAGAGCAGTGGTGCTTACCCTTCAGCCTGTGAATCATATCTGACCCCCAAAGCAACTGAATCCACCCTGTGGGATGAAGGAAATCAGTACTGCCCCAGAGCAGGAGTCAGCAGGGAGAAGGGCCAATCTAGAGGGTGTCTGTGCAGCATGAATAAAAGAGCACTATGGACTGCCAGAACCCTGCCAAGCCACCCAGTCCCAGGCATGGATGCCTTGCCCTGCCCTGCCCAGCACAGGGACCAAGGCTTGCTGCTTTGGGCTGCCAAGTGCCAGTGACCCACAGCTATGTAAGGTGCCCTGCCCAAGGATGCTGGGGCTGGAGAGCACAAGACAACTCCTGGTATGGCCCCAGTACAGCATCAGGACTCAGAAAAGGATTAACCTAGGGTCTAGTGAGCCCAGCCAGCTCCTTCTCCCTTGGGGCTGTAGCCACTAGGTTACCCAGGTTCCTGTATCAGCTCTGGCTCTCAGTACGTGGGGCTGAGCTTCCTGACCTACCAGCACTCCATTCCCCATGTCCCAGGAACTGCCACCACTACTGCCCAGAGTAGGTCTGGACTGGGAGAGAGAGTTATTAACAGCCCTGCTGTTAGCAGCAGAAGGCAGGAGCTTGGGGTACCATAGGCTCTGCATCGCACGTCCAGGCTCCACTTGTGATAACAATGAAGCCAGAGGCTGCAGGCAGCAAGAGAACCCAGAGGAAGATGGCGAGGTCTAGCCAGGTACCTGGTATCTTCAAACCCATCCTCAGGCATCTAGCAGTAGCTGCCAAGAACCCAACCCAGAATACCAGCAGCAAGGCACCTGCCTGCCCACCCTCCCTCCCCCTTCCCCTCTACTGAAGGGAGTGGCAGCCCACACCACAGCCAGGTGGCAACTAACCAGCCTACTCCTCTAAAACAGCGTTTCTCAACCCATGGGTCGCAACCCAAAAGTGGGTCACAACAATATATGGAAGTCACAAACAAACTTTAAAAAGGGATTCTCCTTTAAAAGAGAAAAACATGGGAAACTGTGGGTTTTCCCTTGCAGGCTGTTAAGGGTTGCAGCCTGGAAGAAGCTGCTTGAGCCCTGTTCCCCCCTCCCCATACCACACACATCCCCAGGAGTCAGGGTCGGAAGTGAGGGTCGCTGCTAGGGCCAGCGGGCTGTCTTCTACTTACACTACTTACTGGGTGAAGATTGGCCAGATGTTTACAAATGAGTCCTGGTACAAAAAGATTGAGAACCACTGTTCTAAAACACTGAGCACCACTGTGTTAGAGAGATCCTGTAGGGACCAACCCCCTCATCCTGCAAAAGTTTACATGTGTGCTTAACTAACAAGCATAAGCCCATCTATTTCAATGAAATTATTTCTAATGCCAAAGTTAAATATACTTGCAAGATCAAGCCTAAATAACTCAGGACATCACCAAGGGAATTTAGAACTTTCTAATTTTACATTAAACATTTTTGCTACTTGTTTTAACACATTTACATTTATTTTCCCCCTTTAACTCAAATATATATTAATAATAATTTTATACTATGTACTGTATTTTATACCATATGCTAGATATCATATTAGTAAATAAGTAAAAAGAGGATATCTTGTAGTCTGGAAGTTAATGTACACAGCAAACTGGCTGGACTTTCATTTTACACTACATATTCCTCAGATGCATTGCCATGAATTTGTGGGTACTACTCCGATTTGTGATAATTTATTTCCAGATTTTACAGCTGCAACAACAAAATGTTATTTAAACAAGACAGATGAATCACAGGCAAAAAAACAGGTTATACTGAAAGGAGTCCTGAGTAAATTGCAAGGGGTGTAACTAAAAGCAATGAGATTCAAGGTCTATACCTAGCTCCGCTGCAGAATGAGACTTCTGGAGTCACTTAACCTGTTTGTATCTCAGTGTCCCTATCAGGGAATTGAGAAAAAAAAATATGCAGGCTTCTTGATGAATGCTTTTGAAATGTGAAGATGACAAATGCTATTCTTCAGTAATTACATACAGAAAAGCTTTTGTCAGAAAAACATTGCTTGGCTGTGAAGTCAAGCATTCAAAGGGAAGGAAGGGGTAGAATAAAAGCTACCTGTGATTTCACTAGGAACTGAATGCTCCCAGCACTTCACAATATCCAGACACGTGAAGTTTAGTTCTAACATCTTTAAAAAAAATTCTCAGATCACATAGATAACTAGAGAAACAACTTATACGATTGTCAACTGAAGCATGCATAAAAGAGCACTTTTTCCACTGCAAAACATCTTTCCACTGTAAAACCTCTCCTGTTCAGATATATAAAAAATTGGCAATCATTCACATCAAGAAAAGGAACTTTGAAGATTATTAACTGCATATTGCAGCCCTAAATTGGAAGCATTTTAATAAACGTAGTGTGATTAACTCATGACCTGCAACAGTCAAGTAACACTGACCTGCATCAGGTTTCTGCATTTCTCCAAGTGCTCCAATTTAATTATTTGGTTTTTATCCAGAATCAGAGTGTGAGTATCAGCATCACAAGGTAATATTGGACCCAGCTTTTGTAGCCCTTGTCCTGACCAGTTAACTATCAGACCTTGAAGGAGGAGGAAAAAAAGTGAAATAAAGTATAAGCACATGCATTGTAAAGCAAAAGAAACAGATTTGCATTCCTGTGAAAAATAATCAAATTCTATCATTTAAATCTCTAAGACGGCATCTCATAAATATTTCATATCAAATACATGAGGATCAGTGGTTCAGCTTAGGAGGCTGACATTTGAGTCCTTGTGCTAACATGCATTGTCTGCATGACTGCAGGACTAGACCCATAAAAGGACTCTGACATCAAAGACAGACTTGGATTTAGACACTAAAATTGTACTTAGAGTGTCACAGAATCGTAGAAAATTAGGGTTGAAGGGAGCTCAGGAGGTCACATCTAGTCCAACCCTCTGATCAAAGCAGGACCATCCCCAACTAGATCATCCCAGCCAAGGCTTTGTCTAGCCAGGTCTTAAAAACAATTGAAAGATGGAGATTCCACCACCGCTCTGAGTAACCTGTTCCAGTGTTTTACTACCTTCCTAGTAAGAATGCATTTCCTACTATCTAACCTAAACTTCCCTTGATGCAACTTAAGACCATTGCTCCTTGTTCTGTCATCTGTTACCACCGAGAACAGTTTAGCTCCAACCTCTTTCAAACCCCGCTTCAGGTAGTTGAAGGCTGCTATTAAATTCCCTCTCTGTCTCCTCTTCTCTAGACTAAATAAGCCCAGCCTTTCCTTGTAAGTCATGTCCCTCAGCCCTCTCATCATTTTTGTTGCTTTCCACCAGACCCTCTCCAATTTGTCCATGTGCTTTCTGTAGCGGGTGCCCCAAAGCTGAACCCAATACTCCAGATGTGGTCTCCCCAGTGCTGAATCGAGGGGAAGAATCACTTCCCTTCATCTCCTGGCAACAGTGGAATCCTCAGAACTCTACACAAGCCTAACTTTTCACAATCAACCTACCCAAATGCCTAAACTCTGACTCTGTACAGTCCAAAAGTTCCTCCATCTTGTCAGGACTGAGCTGCATGGCACCTAATTCATGTTTACACTTTACTGGAATCTAGGAACTAGGCATTTCCCCACCAAGGCCCCATGAGGGGCCAGATCTAATAAGTGTGCTCAGAAAGTGCCTAATATAACTTGGCAGGACACCCAATATAAAAAAAAAAAACAAAAAAAAACAGCCATTGCTTTCCTTCAAGAACATGACCAGAAAGAGAGGAGGCTGTACCGCTTTTTTCTGTTTAACGGAATAGACCAGAGGTTGAATCACTTGCTCAGAAGGAGCTGGGCTCAGTGTGCTCTTCAGTCTGAGGGGGTCCAAACTTATATCTCCCACCTCCAAGAAGGGTGCCCTGACTACAGGCAACCCCCACTTAACACTGTTTCACTTAGTGCTCTTTTGCTATAACACTCATTTTAAATTGATACCCAATTTCACTTAGCACTCAGTTTCATTATAATGCTTGCAGTCACAATCTTGGGTCATTAAAAACAATTGCAGTCATCATCTTGGGCATTAAGCAAAACTGAAAGTATTTGATAACCCATTTCACTTAATGCTCGGTTTTTCAGGAACCAATTAAGAGCGCTAAGCAGGGATTGCCTGTACTAGATTACTGGCTATTCTAGGGCAGGGAGCAGGGAGCATGCTCCACCTTTCTTACTGAGATTGCCGCTACATAGATGGGGACTCAAAATGTGTTGGGCCAGAAGTAACAGGTCTGACCATCTAGGACAGGCCTTGCGGCTTTCATCTGAGCAAGGGGAGACAGATCTGGGTTTCTGTTAAAAGAACTATTTATTTTATGCCTTATTTTACATTACTGCGGCCCTAGTGGTTCAGTGCCTCGCGTCTTCTCCAGTCTGTCTACCTATGCTTCCAAAGGAAAGAGCCTCACGGCTCTTTCCTAGGCAATTGGAGATGTGGATTTGAATCCCCTCAGACTGAGGAAGACACTGAATCTGGATCTTTCACATTTGAGATACATACTTTAAGCCTGGGGTTCCCCAACTGTGGTATGCATACCCCTGGGAGTAGGCAAGACATCTCTGGGGGTACATGGGAGAAACTGTGTAATGGCAGATTTAATTTTCAGTATTATAATGACTGGTAGTTAAGGGGTTAAATATAAAAGGTATGCTGGTAGGGCTACGTGGGCAGCCAGTAAGTGGGTACACAATAAGAAAAAGTTTGGGAACCTCTGCTCTAAGCATGAAGTCAGGGGTTCTCAAAACTGTGGGTCGCAACCCCCGGGGGGGGGG